CCTAAGAAAAGAGAAGAATACAAAATGAACAAAAACCAGGACTTCAGATAAAAGTATACATAAAGGGAGAAACATATTCTGAAATGAGAAGAAAAATTAAATAGCTAATAATATAGCCATAATTAATTAAGCCAAATTTCATCTCAAAAACCTGCCATAATAAGAGTATGGAAGAAGTTTAAAAGTAGTTATATTTAATTCTTACAACTTCACTAAGCTGATCAGTGGTATCGATGCCAGTTTAATGTACTCGCTTGGTCAATAATGACCATATATTAAATTGGCTGAGGAATAACAAACAGCTATTTTCGTATTATCAGTTTGTTGTTTTCAGTGATCTCTAATTCCATTTTAAGAAGCAATTCACCAATCCCAGGGCAAGGTGAGAAATCATTTAACTCTCCTATGGCCACTTAACTTTCTATGTCCCAGGAGGAAGACTTCCTACCTTTAGAAATTTCAATCATTTACCCCACTCCTATCCCAAATTTTTGATGATAAATGCTTTGTAAACATCCCAATCACTTAGCGAGTAAAAACAGCACATACTTTACCTTACATCAACGACTAGGAAAACCTCAAAATAGTAGTAAACTAGTCTTAACATTAAAAACATTAGCACTAGAATGGTCAGTTTGAACACATAAAAAATAAGCACAGCATGATAGCTTTAATGACTTTTTGGAAAATTAAGTGATTATGTGCGCGCTACTAGATTAATTTTTACTTTTTGAATTTTAGTTAAGTTAGAAAACATACAGCATATGTATTTTGAAGATAAATACACTATCAGTATGTACATTTAAAATATAGATTAATGCTGCTTTGTAGAGCCAAATAGGAAAAATAAAGAGGTTGTTTTGTGCTTGTGTCAAAATGTGCATTACAGCCCCACTGGCTGACCAAGGATTTATATCAAAACAACAACAAAACTATCTTTTTAAAGTTTAGATTTTTCCCCATTTGTAGTACTGGGGATCAAATTCAGGGCCTCGTGCATGTTAGGCATACATGTTAGGCATTAACATTACACTATTACTAAGCTACATTCTCAGCCCTACTTTTGAAATTTGGATGCAAAATACAAAACTAATTGAGAATTACAATAAAAAATACTAAAAATCATTGAGAAGTTAATGAATGAGTAAAAAATAAATGCAGGGAGAAAGCGAGTACTGGACAGTAATATCCCATGTCAACTTTACTAAGAAGTAATACCCCTTAAGGTATCTGCTTAGAAAACAAACAACAGACTGGACCGTATGAAATGTCTTTCTACAGAGAAAGACAACTTTAGAAAAAATTTTGGCCAAAATAATTGAAAGGGGCAGTCTGTTCAGGACTCGGTGAAAGAAAATTACATTCGGACTAATTTCACTTTGCGAGGAACTGACACAACTTCCCTGCCTCATATACTGTAATATCTTGAACATTTGATTAAAACTTAAAACTGGAGCTAAAAAGGAAATAAAAACAATTCACCTGTCAACTTCCGGTCGCAAACTATTTGATATTTTAAATGCAAGTAAATTTTTCTAAGGAAATGAAGGCCTAATGACAAATACCTTTAGTTTACAAACAAAGGTCCTATTTATTAGTCACAAAAGGTGAGGCAAGCCTGTAATCCCAGAACCCTGGAAGATTAAGGGAAAAGGATGGCAAATTTAAGCGCAACCTATGCAACTCAGTGAGACCCTGACCCAAGCTCAGTGTGAAGGTCGTGTGTTCAATCCCCAGTAACGTGATCTACAAATAAAATAATGAAAACTCACTGGTCAGCAGATCAAGTGGATATAAAATATTTCATGATTTTATAAAAAATGAAACTCTTCATGTGCTGACACAAACCAACTGTTAACCCTCAGTACATAGTGTGGGAGAGCAAGATATAGGACTGTGAGTTAATATGCTACCATCTGTATAAAGGAGGGGGAGCACGTATTTGCATATATTGATAGCAAATCTCTGAAGACAAAAATTGGGCAACATGCGGGTGATGAGGAGAGACAACCCACAGCATTTGCTAAATTTTGTTTTGAATTATGGACCATGCAAGTCACTTCTTCCATAAACAAAACTGAAAGCACAGAAAGGTACTTCTTATTTCACCAAGGGTGACTTTTCTTCTTTGAATCCTCTTTATGACAAATATTCTCCATTAGTTTCTGTGTTCCCAATACTCCTTTGAGGACAGAGGAAAGACAGCAATGGATCTGGATCTGCAGGAGCTTCTGGCCCAGAGTATTAAACATGGTAAGGTAGGTATGGAGACGAAACTTGCTGAAGGTCCAATAGTTTGGATTGGCTGAACCCTTAAGGTACTTCATCTCATAACTCCGTGGAGCAATTGTTCTAGTTTTACAAATAAGGAAACTAAATGAGAAAGATTAAGAAATTCCCCATGACACAAAATTCCTTTAGGACAGGCATGGATGGGGCCGAAGTGGTAATGTCAAGATTCAAACCCAGGCCTGTGATTATTCCAAACCAGATGCTCTTTCAACTACATTCTGTCTCAGTGCTAAATAAATATTTGAATTACCATAAACTGTTGTCTCAAGTTATACTGCAATAGAGATGAGTTCACACATGGCTAAGAAAAAGAAATCTTGCATTTTCCATTCCCTGACATCTGCTATGTTCTTATATTCAGATTTGAGCTCTATGGAACATAATGAAACCATCAATAGATATTACTGTTTGTGAAACTGCCACAGGGTGGCCCTAAGCAAGTTTATTAATGTCTGATAAGATAGTTATGAAATTATGATCTGTGAAACAAGGTAAAAATTAAGGTACAAGTGCATAATTTTCTCTACTGTGGAAAAGGGAAAAAAGTTTTAAATGAGGTAAGTGAAAAATATATACTTGGTCTTCTATAACTATACTGTATTCAAACAAAACCACTTATCCTGGGATGAGATACAAGCTAAGTTACTTCTCGGAGAAAACAGTATTTCTACTAAACAGATATAATCAGTTAAGAATAAGTTTTTTGAAGCAGAAAAAGGAAGTTTATGAATCAGGTTTCTAAGTTTCTCCAGGCTCTTAAGTGAAAAAAAATTTTTCGTTCAAAAGAGGTAATACCAGAGTTTTAAATTCCAAAAGCACTCTTTTAACGCTGTTTAGGTAAATTCTGTTAAAGAAATTATTTGCTTTCTAAATACATATGCCCACCCCCCCAAACAAAAAGAATGATACACATTCATCTGTAATTTTAACAGTTCCTAAGAGAGTGCATTAGTACCAAGCTCCAGGTGAACGTTCAAATATTATTGTTTGAAAAGTTTATCCTGAAACTGTTAAGAGTCACACACTAGGGACCTAACACAAAATTGAAAAATCTTTTGTAGAAGACTGATGAACACATGAGAAAACAAAATATGAAAAAGGAGAGTCACTGTATATTGTCTATAAGGAAAAAAAGTTCTAAAGTGATGCTGGCTGGCAGAAACTCAGAAAAACGGTAGCTATCATCAATACTGTACATAACTTTCGTTCTTGGAAATAAAATCAGTCTCAATCTTTATGGAAAAACTCCCTTTATTGTATCTTAATTTTCTTGGCAATGACAAAGAACTAATGAGGTCTTTTAAAGACCATCATGCAGCTAAGTAGGTTTTGGAAGTGACTTGGATACAGAGAAACCATCAGGCAGTGTTTACTAATCAACAGTCCTAACTTGACACTTTGTATTCATCAAACATAACCACACAATTACCTGTCTTGTTAAGCTTTCAAATTACCTAACCTAACCGTTTGGGCTTTAGTTTTAAATCAGGAAATGAGCAGTGAGTGTACAAGATTTCAAGAGATGGCAACCAAAAGTATCTTCTACTAAATCTGCAGATGGGAGGTCTGATGCAAGCCGAGGCTAGCAATGCAATTCTGACTCCTGGAGAAGGTATGGCAAATTTAAATAGGTCATACTGCAGGCCCTTTTAAACTGTCTTTTAATCTTTAATGTGTCAATGGCTTTCTTTTCTTTTTCTTTTTTTGCAGTCCCCTTTTTGCAAAGGACGAAGAAAAAAGTCTCTTGGCCTAAATTGTTGTGAACCTCCGACTAAGGTTACCTACTGCACTGGACACAAATAATGGATACTTTCAATGCCTATTTTTAGAATCAGTATTAAATCAATCCCTCATTGAGTTTAGACAAATATGTACGAAACGCGGCAGAGGGTGAGCGCAGGGGCGAGCCGAGCTTCAGGTCCTTTAAAGCCCTTGGCAAGACTGCCCCCACCGCAAAAAACAAGTGATGTAAAACAAAAGTACCTCAGCTATTTGTTTCAACGAAGGGTTTCAGAATGATAGACCTCAAGTGATTATCATTGAAAAGGGTTAAAACCGAAACTGTTTTCAAACACCAGCTTCCCTTTTACAAGATCCGAACAGTTTCTTTAAAAAGTTATTATAAACGTTTTTTTTTTTCCTTAGCACCCCCTTCTTCCCAAAAAGAATGCACTTCCATGACTACTTATTTTTTTAAGTGTGCCCGGGGGGTGGGGTAGTGGTTGTAGGAAAGAGCAAAAAATTTCCCTTAAAAAGCACGAGCACTCGTCAAGAAAGCAGCGAAGGACAGAAAACAGCAGTTTCCCAAACGGTGTGGGCGCGGGGAGCCAGGGCACGAATAAATACAGCACGAGAGAACACCTTGGGTTTGGAACTTTATTGCACAAAGAGTGAGCGGGCGAGAGCAGCTCGGACGTGGCCGCTCGGCTCCCGGACCGGGCGGGCCGACGGGCCGCGGGCACCTTCACCTCCGCTGCCCTCCGCCGTCGCCTCCTTCCTCCTCTTCCACCCCCCACGGGCCGCGGCGGCGAGCTGCGGGCGGCAGACGGACCGAGGCAGGCGGGCGAGCGGGCGGCGGGGC